TTTATTAATTTTTAATTCGCTAAGAAATGTTGATAATATACTCAATATACACTATCCATTATCGTTATATTAATTATGTCCTTACCTAATTAGTACATTGCAAATATATTGTGTTGTGAATCACACACACTTTCGATATTTCATGAAAATTACTTGTTACCGACATTTTTTTTTTCAATTTTACAATTGTAGTGCTTCTAGTTAAAATTTTTCTTTTTGATAATCTGATGTAAAACGTTAGGAATTCTAATAATATAATTCAATGACAATATCTTAAATTGATAATTACCAATTTTGTTGACAAATGATTGAAAAGAATTGACACATAACGACGAAAGAAAAATAAAATATTTTATTTTTAGTACGATAAGTTGTCTTATTATTTATATATATATTTTTTTTAGTTCATTTATTTATCAGTTATTAAGTTTGGTCTTGAAATCATCAAATTAAGAGAGTTCAATAAAGCATTTAACTTGATATAGTTAACATTTAGAGTATAAATTTATGAGGGGAACTTGTTAAAAGAAATAAATCCGAATTTATTAGCATGAAAAAAAACATAATAATAATAAAATAAACAATTAAAATGTTAAAAATAATATTAATAGTTCATATGTAAGATGTTAAAATGTAAAAAGAATTTGAACTCAGGTATAATTTGGATGCATCATTAAATCATGATTGACGCAAAAATAACTACTTAGATTTAATATTGTCAAGAATATAAAACAATCTTGTGTAACCTTGCAAGTCATCCACCAACTACATGATTGTCGAAAATGCATGCCAATCAACGATTTATGAATTAATTAATTCAGGAAAGTATAATAAATTGCTTGTATAGAAAGCTTGAGGATGACAATCCGAATCTTCTAATCTTTGCACTGGATCCGCATCAAAATTGCCAGAATCATCAAAAGATTCCGTCCATTCTTCAAACATACAACATAAATGCAAGGCAGATGGACGGTTTGAAGGATCCGGATCCCAACATTGTTCCATTAATTGAATATAAATGTAAGGCGTTTCTTCAGGAATTTCAGGACGAAGACCAGAACAAATTTCTTTAGCGAGATTAAGGTCATGTGCCCTATTACACCATGGACGAACACCAGCGGCGAGTATCCACATGATCATTCCGAAGCTATAGATGTCCGAAGCTTTTGATAGTGGAGACCCTTTCAAAACTTCAGGGGCCACATAAGGAAGGACTCCATATATATCATTTGAGTTGTTCCTGTCAACAGGACCGTGTATTCCTACATCAGCGATACGAGTTTGAATCTCATCCATAGGATTATCCGAATCACGATGATTACGAATCAATATATTTCCTCCATGAATATTTCCATGAATTAATTCATTATCATGAATATATCGGATACCTGCAGAAATATCCCAAAGCATATCAACAATACCTTTCCAATTCGGAACCCCAAGATATGAGTTTAAGTCACCGCCTTCATAAAGTTTCATAACGAACGCATAATTTGAAGTAGGATCTTTGGTTATTCCGAAATAGCTCGCCAAACATCCACTTCTAAGGCAAATATGATATTTATAGAGCTAATTTGAAATTGAATGAAAGGGGTTTATAAGAAAAAAAAATACATAATAATAATCCAATAACTTTTTTTTTTTTTTTGCCTTACTTGATTTAAATATAATTGGCTCATGTTTTGTGAATTGTCAATTCTCTTAAGAACGACATCTGTTGGTCCACTACGTATCCATTGTTCGGCACCTACATCCAAAGTCCGTCGAGGACCTTCAGCCCAGTTTGCTGAATAAATTGCACTGAAAGAACCACTTTTGTTCATGTTTTTTACAAAATTCAAATCCTTAAAATCAATATATTCTAAATAAGATTGATTATCATTTGCATTAAGCTGAGTATGTCTAATGAAATTATCAATCTCAGAATTTCCGCTAGTCCAATTTTTAAATTTTTCTTTAAAGGCTAAAGACTCACAAACTTTACACCAGTTTATTGTTTCTACTTCAATTCCACATTCCGAACATTTGCTAGGAGGAGCCATTTAATTTATTAAATCGATATTTAAAAAGGGATTCAAAGATTATTTTTTTATTTTTGGTTTTTTTTAAATATTCAAACGATGGATTTTGCCCACTTTATATCTGAAAATAAGTTGGACAAATATTAAAAGTTTAACCGTTTAACGTGCGTTTTGTTTGTTTTAGTTGTCTAAAAATAAAAAATTTTTTTTTTAAATTTAAATGAATAACAGATAAAGCGAACAAGGCAATTTTGTGATGCGTTGATTGTGTATAAATATAGTAAATTTGTTCCCGATTAGTTATGGTCTGAAGCACAAATATTAAACAATAATAATTAATTTAATGAATTTGTATGATGTTATATTATTAATATTGTTTGTTGTATTGGTTTTCTAATTATATTTTAAAATTTTCTTACGAAAACATAAATATACAGTAAGTCTATGACACATTTATTGAACGGAATGCTTATTATTTCGATTTATTTATTTTTTTGGGGGTGATGAAACCTTTAAAGTTTTGACTAATGTTGGTTGGCTTTCTTGTTTCTAACGAATTGGGCGAATTGGGTGGATGGCCTTCATCTATATATACATGTATATATATATATTATATATATAAAATTATAAATATAATAGACCTTAAAAAAGGAAAGATGTGAAAGGATTTTCTGATGTTCTGTTCCAAGATTTTCACAAATGCTATGTTTTAATTACAAAACTTTGTTTCAAATACAAAATGTAATACTTTGTTTGTTTTAAATAAGGATGAAACCATTCATGCATGTATTAAGGGATTATAACCGGTTAAAATATTATTAAGGGTATGATTTTCCATTTAATGTACGACTTTTATAGACATCTGAGTTTAAAAAAATTTTTTTGTTTAAAGCTCTAATTTTATTCGAACCGATTTGATCTGACTCATTCCAATGTAAATGGATGATAAATACTACCTACCTAATTAAACAAATTTTTATCAACGAAATCTTAAGTAAAAGAAATGAAATGTATTATCGAAGAGGATTTTATTTTTTCCCATAACTTTTTTTTTTATTTGCTGTTCGGATTCAAATATTGGTTGTCGGCTAAACATCTATTTCACAATCTTCGCTAAATGAGAATTTTAACGTAACATTATAATTATATAAATAATACTGTGTGCCAAGTTTATTTATTTGTAATTTTTTTTGTCGCGTGGAGGTACATTGCAATCATGAAAGAAAAAAAAAACTGTGTAAAATAACGTTTCACAAATTTTCGTCTTATTATCATGATCGTTTTGTTCCAAATTGTTTTCTTTCGAATTGGGTTTTTATTTTTTCTGTTTTATTGACACATTAGGATCCAAATAAAAAAAAGTGGTTAATGTATACCTTTCGTTGTATATTAATTGATGTATAATACGTTAATAGTAAGTGAATTTACAATAGTTACCTTCTTTAATGTCATTTCTGGAAAGAACTTACTGCAGAAAATTGCATTGGTGTTGTCGTGAAACTAAAGACGGTATCTATAGCTGTATCAAAAATCAGCAATTATGATATTACCTTTGGGGTCCATAATATTCAGGCTTAAAAAAAAAATTTCGTGATATGTACTTATTACAAATGTTTTGTTTAAGTCGTCCTAAAATACTTTAGTATCACTTCTACTTTCCGAGAAAATAAATTGTGAAGAATAAATTGTAACAACAAATACAATTTAAAGAAATTTGAAAAGATGTGGAATATAGTGACTTGTAGCGCATATAAACCAACAATAAGGCTAAGAAATTCCCTTAACTTGTAGAGTATGTCAGAAAGTAATTTATTCCTTCTAAATTTTTTTTAGGACAAGATCAGTTCTTTTATTCTTACAATAAAAAAATAAAAATAAAGAAAATGTATTATCCCTTATATCTTAATAATATATAAATTATATTATTAATAATGGTTGATTAGAATGTATTATTATTTAGCTTTATTTTTAATAATGTATTTAAACGTTTTCATTTTTAATATATTTTAATTTTCTTAATGTATTTTTGCATAATAATGTTGATCGTATAGTCTACCATTTGAAAATCATATCAAAATAATATGTGGGTGTGGATGTTTTGAGCCGTAAATGCGAAAATTATCTTGCTGAGCAATTTTGCTATTTGCACTTGCATCATCAATTTATATATATATATATATTAAAAAAAAATATATAAATTTATTAATAAGAATGGTAGTTTATGTATACACAGGAAACATTCTAAAAATTGGTAAACATACACTAAGAAATTTTAAACGATGAACATTAAGAATGAAAATTGTTACTTGTATGTAGCATAATAAAAAAAAAAACAAAAAAATATCTAGGAATGGCGTTATAATTAATCAAAATTTTCATCCCACATGACTTCAATAATTTGTCCAACTATATTTGTCACGAGGTTAATTTCTGTCAAGTTCTATAATGTCGGCCAAAAATCACGTGGGTTGAAATTTTTTTATAAATACACTGGAAAAATTAAATTTCGGCTGAATTCCGACCGGAATTAAATGAACCTCCTTGTTGATGTTGATAATTCCCACTTTGAACTGCCGCATTTTGTTGAAAAGTATTATCAATCAAACTCGAATAAGAACCATTACCAATACTGTTGGATACCAAATTATCGGTAAGGAATTGTCTCAATTGGAACTCGAGGATTTCTTAATGTCTATTAGAAAACTCCAAGGGTGGTTGTTGTTGCTGCTCGTTTTGTCTTAAACCAAGGATGTTAAAGTTTAAATATTGAACTATATTTGAAATCATTTCACAGACAACTTTGTAAATTTTTTGATCATTAGGATGTTGAAAATAAAATGTAAAAGATTGTTTGAGCAAAAACGATCATTAGATGGGTATAAGTTATTAATTAATAATTGAGAAATGAGCTCATTAAAGGTTAAAAATTTGAACATCGTTGTCTGGTCTGTAATAAAATGACCATTCAAGTTCTTGAGAAGGAGATTGAGTGTTTTGAATATCTTGTAAAGATTGATTGTTGTTAATAACTGACGTGTTATTTGAAGGAGAAGAAGGCTCATGAGAAATAGTCTCATTCGAAGTAGCAGTGGATTCATTAAATGAAATGCTAAATTTAAAAGTATACTACACGTATTATAAAAACTATAAAATGACCAAGACGAAAAAAATATTAGATTATTCTGCTGCATCACAAGTAGCTAATGTAGAATTTTTAATATCGATTTTTTTTTCCTAAAAAAATATAATTTAATAATTTTTAATAAATATGAAATGGTGGTATACGGATTATATATTTTATATATTTTGTCAAAGGGTATGTTACACACGCGCTGTGGGGTTCCGAGTTATAAAATTAATCACGTTTCCTTTGTTTGTTAAATATTTGCATTAGGGTTAAGGTTAGTTTATTAAAACTATTAGCCACACCACATTTAGCCACATTAAACATATAAACATACAATGGTAGTGCATTTGTAGCTAACAAAATTCATTTATATTTGTTTTAAAAGTTGAATATCAAGGCTACAGTAAAAATAAATGCAAAAATTCGATTCTCTTTTTGATTAACTTGTATTTCAAAAATGGTAAAGAACGGTTTGGTAGTTATGGCTTTTGAAGATCCACAAATTTGGGCCAAATTCCTACATAACTACTGAACCGTTCTTTGCCATTTTTGAAATACAAGTTAAAAAAAAGAAGCTTATAAGCAACCTTTTAAAACAAATATAAATGTATTTTGTTAGCTACATAAATTTGTACTTTAAATTTAATGTAAAAGTGATGCATTACTCTTGATTGTCACTGTAGTTAATCACATGATCCGAGCTTTTTTTTATGGTAACAGGCAAACGATACAATATCCCGAAGGCCTTTCCCAAGGAATATATCGACAAATAAACGATTTATTACGATTCAAATGAGTAGTTGGTTATAATAAACAGAGCACATGAGGAAGGTAATGTAATATTTTTATTCAATAATAGGAATAAGTCTATCACCAAGAACTCATTATCACAAGCGAACAAAAAAAACCCTCTTTTAGTCAAATTACAGGTCTATATATATTAAATACCATATTACACATTTATCATTATCGTAATAAATAATGAAAGTAATGCAATAAAATAAATCATAAGAAATCTTGAAAATAATTAACCGACGAAAAATAAAACATTCTTTACATAATTGATGAAATAACTAAACAAAGTATGTATAATTTCTGACAATCGTCGCAGTGACGCAAATTTTTCGAGTTTGACACCGTATATAAACTTTATCAAGATTCAGGTTTCAATTAAGTAAGACTAGTTTGACATATGACCAACATTTTTGCATGGCTGGTTTTTGTCTAAAGAGAACAACGTCGATATGATATTTTTATGTAAAAATTCTTCAGAACCATCTTCCAGAGCATTGCCACCTCTCGGGTTGCGTGGAAAGGCGTATGCCAATAATTAGAACTTTTTATGATTGAGGAGTGGATCAATATTTCCAAAATATTCTAATTAGCTTATAAATCAATTGCAAGACGTATTCAAGCCATTATTGAAAATAATGGTGAACGTATTTATTTCTAACCTTTATAAATTTCAATTTGTAATAAATAGGTTTTACTACCTTGAAATGCCTTGAAATGACCTGAAATGAACTCAATTGACATAATTTTTATTATAAATTTCAAAATGGTCAAGATCATTTAAATAAATAGTAAATGTCACGAGGACTGTAAAAAATGATAAAATTTCATGAGATGGCATTCTTCAAGATTTAAAATAAAAAAAGTCATTCGCTTTGTTCGAAATTAAATTCTTCTGAAATGGGTTTTATTTTTTTTTAAATTTGATTGATTTGTTTTTAAAAATGACCATACCATGTCATTAATCATCTTTAGAACATACTCAAAATACTCAATTTCTCGAGAATATAGAATATACTGTAAATGGTAATTCTATTAATAACAATCTTCAAATTTACCCTTTATTACTTATAAACAATGGCATTATATCTCAATTATGTATTTATTACCTAGTAATTGATAAATCTTTATACAACTTAATTGAAAAATTTTGTGAAGTTGCTTGTGAAATTGGGGTGTTCGGTCAACTAATTAAATCAAAACTATATATGGTATCATATAAAAATTTACTATTGAATTTTTTTTATATTAAGCTATTTTATATTATAATTTAAACTATCTTATAATAAATTTCATATTAAAATCAATATATTTTCGCACTTCCATAACTTGGAATTCTACTTATCTTTCGTGTTCTAAATTCTGCGAAAGTATTATAAATCATTAACTCTTTCATGTATTAGAAAGTTTTTTCCCAAAAAGACACACAAAAGTCATAAAATAAACTTTAGAACTATTACTTTACAGGAAAAAAAATTTTTTCCGCAGTTTTTTCAAAAAAAACGCTATATTTCGACTTTTTTATGTTCATTTAATTATTTGGAATTGCATAAAAACTAATACAGTATAGTATAACTTATCGAATTTTTAAAATTTCGGATTAGTTACTAGGAAAAAAAATATATTGTAATAAAAAAATTCAATAGTAAATTTTTATATAATACCATATATATAGTTTTGATTTAATTAGTTGACAGTGTATAGATTTGTCATTCGTTCGTGCTTTAAAAAAAAAATTCATTTCATAAAAATGTCTTTTCTCAGTCGCGTTTCAAAGTTTTCTCGCCCTATCTCACGTATTCTTCAACCAGCAGTAACTTTCTCATCTTCTGCCACATTATTTGACAATGCCCTTAAGGAATCACGAAAATTAATCAAGGCCAGGCTTAAAGAACAGGTTTTATTGGATCACTCAACTCCACTTATTCTTCTTTCAATAAAAATGATTTGCAAGCACTAAAAGTGAGTTTCGAGCCAGCTAGCAAGTGCGATGTCCTCCCTTGTGATATAGAAGGTAAGAAATATACTGTTCAACATTCTTTTTAGCGAACCTAATTCTAATGATTTAGAAATTATTTAGTTCCTAGCTTTTTTGAGAAATATACTCTTCCCCAAATCGATTTTGAAACACTTAAAGAAAAAATTTTGATGTTGACAATATTGAAGAAATTTCGGACCGTAAAATCAAAGGATTTTTAAGAGATATACGCGAAGTTATTAAGAATTTAGGAGAAGATGTAGGCACGGAAGAAGCTGTGACTGACGCACTAGTAATGAATCTACTAGTTCAGGTTGCTGAAATGCATGAGCATCCCTTGAGAGTTAGGTGAGAAATTATGGAAATTATGAGAGTTTTTAATATGCATTCTATCGATTTCTTTAATTTATATCTGAAACTAGACCCCATCCGAAATGCAACTTATATGTCACGGGCGAGCCTTATCTCACAGCAAGACCCGAATTCGTGATTACTAGGAATGATGTTACTGTGATCGTTGTAGAGGTCTATATTTTTTTGATTATTTGAATATTCTATTTTGTTTACCTAAACAACTTTCTTTTAACAGGATAAACAACTGAAAAACACAGCCCTAATTCCTTCAAAAGGTTTTGGGGAAGCACAATTAGCGGCCGAGATTCTCGCATGTGGGAATGAAAATATGCGTCAAACTGCACTTCAAACTGATGTAATTCCGGATCAAACTATATTTGGTATTCGCGTCATCTCCTCGTACTTTACATTTTACAAAACTGTAATTCCTGCAAAATATTGGAATGAAATTGATTTCGGCTTACCAAAGAAAGAGTCTATTGTTATTAAAAGATGGCCAGATGGGGAGCGTCCAGTGATTGGTCTGGACATTGCAGAACCAAGCGGGAGACGAGAAGTGCTTGAAGCATTGTCCAGAATTCGTCAATTTCTTATGCAATAGATGAAATTGTATACTATGTCATGACCCTTCAATTTAATTATTCGTGTTTATTTCTTCTATAGTTTAGACGCACTTAAACTTCCTGCTAGCAAATAATCTTTGTTAACTTAACGACGAACAGTTTAAGCTTAACAAGTGGTGGGCTTGGGGCTCTTTATTGTTATCATTTTATTACTATTATAGTATAACAATATTGTACGCTTATTGCAAATAATGTATGTTATAAAATATAGGCCCAAACTCATCATGGTCCTAGGCAGTGATGTACATTTTCGATGTCCCAAACATTTTGAGACTGTCCCACACTATGTCCCAAAATGTCCCACATTAAGTCCCAATGTCCCAGGCCATGTCCCAAAAATGTCCCATGACAACACTGCCTATAGGGCAGTGCGATAAATATTGATATTATAACAATTTTTTGTTGCCCTGCCCTTTGTAGAAGATCAAATTATACTAATATTTTTATCAAATTGATTTACTATTTTTTTTAGGATTGATGCGTAAAAAGAATAAATAGAGAAGGTCTCATTCGAAAAAAAGAAGAAGATATCATGTATTCCGGCGGCACAATTCCATTTTTCGTAATAATATTTTTCGTGCTAATTTTAATAAATACATAATCAAAGTTTTTACATGTATTGATAATAGCGTCAAAGTTTTTGAGATCTAAATTGCCGTGATGAGATTATATTAACATAAATATTAATTACAAAATTTGACTTTGAACCCATTAGTCCTTTTTATCCGTCTTGCACAAATCCAATCAAATGAAATTCAAACACACCTTTATATCAACGACAAAATTGTTAAATCCACATCAAAATCAGAGCGATTCCTTTGCTGTTTCCGTATTTGCGTGGATTTAAGAGATGCTGATTGCAAACCATGTCCAGAACTCTATTCTATTCTAACAAAGTATTGCACAAAAATTAAATCGAAACAAAAACTTACCTGTTATTATAATAGCCTTATTCACAATAAATTTCTTGGGTGTGAAGCGTAAAGAAAGTGAAATATAATAATAAGAAATTCAATTGTCGCTTCCTTACAAAACTAGGATAAAATAAAAATATACTCGATTTGAGAATAAAGATAAACTTCACAAGTCGTCTAACATCTCTAAAAGACTAGGCGTTTCATGAACCTGCCGATGAGACACTGAAGCATGAAGCCAGGGCGATTGACTGGGTGTAGGGGAATGCTTTTCCGGAAGCAAGAAATATTCACAAAGACAAAAGTGGACAAATTTATATAAACCATATGCCCGAGTTATAAAGTCGAGAACATCGCGTTCAAAATCCGACCTTTGTGATTTTATTTAAAGATAATCTATAATTTATTTTTTTTTGGACCTAATTATGGAATCCCGTCCTGAATTTGTAAAAGATTGCGTTTTTTTAAAAGAATTTCTGCTTCAAATTGGGATGATTATGACCTCTATGACTTTTAAAAATATAGTGAATAGCCAATAAACTATTTTGAATAAAATGATAGATTATGTCACATAACAGAGCTATAAATATAATTAGGACCGTAAACCATTAAAAATTAGATCGTTTTCCTTGGGTTTTTTTTTCTTTTAAAAATAAGATTTTCTTTGGAACTGCTTATATTGAAGATAAGAAAAATTTGTCTTTCTTTTTTAAAAAAAAAATGAAATTTTTTTTAAAGAAAGAAAAAAACCAAACCTTTTTTAAAAAATAAAATCCATCGAATATTTTTTAAAAATGAATTTTTAAACCAAAATTTTCTTTAATAATGAAACAAGTGTTTAAAAAAAAAAATCCAACTTTTTTTTTAAAAAAAAAATACCTGAATTTTCCTAAAAAAAAATATCTGATTCTTACATTTTTTTAAAAAAATCCCAAATCTTATGGAAAATTAAAGCTTCCTTTTTTTAAAAGATTTTTTAAGATGCTAATCAAAAGGTTATATATAAAATGTCATCTAAAATCATAACATTCAGCTTGTAACTGCACGAGAAAGTAATAATTAAAAAATTACAAGCTACTATCAAATGATAAATTATCTGATAATTTTTGAAGAAGATAGTATTTAGCATGATGATAATTTTGAAGAAACCTTGGATAAGATTACTCTATCTATATTTAATATTATATATCAAAATACAAAAAACTTTATTGTTTTTGATAGTATGCATCCATTAATTTATCATGGAAATTCTGATAGAACCTGAAGATGAAAATCAGTCACAAAAATAGCAAATAAAGAATCTGCCAATATTATCAAATATTTTGATAATTCAACATCTACTTCATCATTAAATGATCAAACTCATACTATAACCAAAGATTTAATCAATCTTGAAGAAATAATAGAAAAGAAGAATTCAACTTAACATTAGAGGAATTAAATAAATTAATTAAAAACAAATCATTAATTTCTCAAATTAAAAATCATTTGCAATTTGTTTTTCAATATATTCACTTGTGTTTAACTGGTTATAGATGTATAAAAGAAAGTAAAATAATTTCAATTAGTATTGAAAAAGGTGAATATCAAGCACATTTGATTAGAATATAGATACAAAATTTTATTATGTATTGTTCAATTTCAACATCACTATGTGGTAAATATCAAAAAATTAAAAGTTTATTAGATGATGAAGATATTTGTCAAATGATGACTAAATATCTTTGGAGTTTGGTTATAATATAATTGTAGATAAATTTAAAGTATATATTAAACAAGAAGTCTTTCTAAATGTTGAAATTGAAAACAAAAAAATAATTTCAAATATTACTGTACGTGTATAGTTAAAACATTTTGGATAAATATTTCATATAGAAAGTAAAGATATTTATTATAATGGTCATGAATAATATGATTTGTTTGAATATTGATAAAAATTTTTAGATGAGATAATACAATTAAAACAATAGATGCCAAAACAATCAGATGATAATATTATGATATTAATAAAACCTATTCTAAATAAAGATGATAAAAGATATTAAAAATGCTATTCTAAACTACTAAAAATTAGTTTCAGTTAAATAAAATTAATTTTGTAATTTTAACTATTAACTAAACTAGTTTTAAACTAGTTTCAATTATTCTAAACTACAAAATTTTAGTTTTGAATAGTAACGTTAAAAGATATATTTTAGTAACTCATGATGAATCAGTATTTTATGCTAATGATTGTAAATAACATTTTAAGAACTTGCTAGACATTAATCTCTTCATAAAAAAGGTTTAACTTTAAGCTTATATGTTAGTAATTTATTAACGAAGATTGATGGTTAATTAAAATTTAAACAAGATAAAGCATATGTTATGATAAAATAAAATGTTAATCATGTTGGATGATGAAAAATTGAAGATTTAATTAAATAAATAAATATATTTTTTTATTTATTATTTTAAAAATAATAATTTAAATTTAAATTACTTATAATTAGATTACTTAGTGTTCTCAACAGTTAAAAACTGTTTTTGCAGATCTTCACCTATTTTAAGTCATGTGTTCATTTGTGTTCACCCGTATAAAATAGTAAATCGGGTTTCCTCACACCATGAGTGAACTAAATTGATTGGTTAATATATTTGTGCAATATTCACGAATTTTTTTTTAAAAAAAAAAAGTATCAGAATGTTCTTTTTTTTTTAACAATGAGAAAACAGCAATGTTTAATTCTTTTATTTAATATGTTTGTTATTTTAAATATTATAAATAATGAAATTGATAAAGAAAAAGAAGATGATATGAATATTTTGTTATTTTATTATTCAAATTTTTTTTTAATTCACCTATTTTTAAAAATTCAAGGCCAAAGATAGATAGATATTGGATAGATATTTTTTTAAATTTAATTGATAATTCAAATACCAAAAATAATTTTAAAGCATACTTTAGAATTATCCGATCAACTTTTAATTTGCTTTTATCTCATTTACAAAACCATCCTTCCTATAATAACAATAGAAATATTAATATAGAAATTCAAGTTGCAATTGCTATTTGGCGACTTGCAAATAATACATTATATAGAATTTTTGAATAAACTTTAGAAATTAGTCAAGGATCTGTAGCTAATTATACAGGTAGGTTTTTAAAAGCAATGTTGGATCAATTTTCTAATATAATTAGTTGGTCTAATGAAAGTCAAATTGATGAAATTTCTTATGGATTTGAATCTATTTCTTCATTTAACTCTTTTTTAAAAAAAGTAATTGGAGCTGTTGATGATTCTCATATTCATATTTTACCTACAATAAAAAATTCTGAAAGATATATTAATCGTAAAGGCTATCATTCAATTAATTTAATGGGAGTTGTTGATTATACAAAAAAATTTACTTATGTTTATATAGTAGAATCAGCTAGTGTTCATAATGCTCGTGTATTTCAAAAATCTTCTTTATTTCATGAAATTCAAACAAATAAACAAAGGTATTTATAATATTTATATTTTTATTAATAATTATTTTATTTTTTTTTAGATTTTTTCCTAATAATACTTATATTATTAGAGATTCAGCATTTATGTTAAAGTTTTGGCTAATGACACTAATTAAACAATATAATAATCGAACATAAGAAGAAAGAAATTATAATAAAATTCATTCTTCAACTTGTGTTGTTGTTGAATAAGCATTTGGTAGATTAAAATCTAGGTGAAGGATTTTAACGGGATAAGGAATTTTTTGTAGAAGTTTAAATAGGATTATATTAATCATTTATATTTCATGTATTCTTCACAATATTTATATAAATAATTTAGATACTTAGAATGATATAATTACAGATTTAGATGGTGATGATAATTATTTTAATGTATACAAATTAAATGATAAATAAGAAGAAAATCTTGGAAAATAAAGAAGATTAGAAATAATTCAAGAATTAAGATAAAAAAAATTTAATAAAGTATGCCTTCTAATAATTGATTTGTTTATTTAGTACGCTCATCTCTTTTTTCTTCCTACCTCAATAAAATTTCTATCATGTTATTACCAAGATCAATAGCTGTAGTAGTGTTAAATTTTGATTTTTTGCTTTTTGGTTTCCTTTCAAGTTGTTTGGTTTCTTTTTTAATTTCAACTTCAATATCAGAAGTATTTTCCTTATCATCTTTAACTAAATGGGAGCTTTGTAATAGAAAGGAAGGAAACTCTAAAAAAATTAAAATTTTACTTTTTAAGCTAATTATGATTTTTTTTTATAAAAACGTCCAGATTTAACATTAACTCAAAAAAATTTTTTTTAGAGTTTCCTCCCTTTCTATTGCAAAGCTTCCAAATCTATTACATTAATACTTCTTTTTTTATTTAATGAATCCAATGTAAAATAAGGAACTATCGTCAGATCATCACCAAAAATATCATTCATTTCGTCCTCAAACTCAAAATTCATTCTATTATTATCAGTTTTACCATTATGATTTTTGAAATTCTTGTAATTTCCAACAAGATGATCCTAATAAGTCTATTTAATAAAAAAAATTATATTAATTAAAATCTATTAAAGTAAATAATAAAATAAAATAATTAACTTAACTCAAATTATAATATACTTACTTGAATAGCTTTTTATTTCTTTCTACATATTCTTCTTGATGTTTAGATACAATAATATTTCAAATTTTACCTTTTTTAATATTGTTACTAGTAGCTTTTATTTGAGAATAGTGAATTGTCATCAAACTCAAAAAAAACTTAGTTTCTTTAGAATGCTAAGTACTCTTTCTATTATCGACTTTATTTTCTTTAAATTATTTAATATAATAAAATTTTAGTATTTATTAAATAAATTAAAAACAAATTTCTAGTTAAATAATAAATTATGTATCTTGATCTTTATCTTACTTCTTTAATACGATTATTTGCATAATTACTTTCTTTAACCAAAGATTGTTTTTCAAAATAATTGACATTGTCAAAAGTAGAATTAAGCTGTGAGTTTTTATTAAATTGATCATTATCACTTGATAAAAATGACGTGTTTACTTTGTAAGAAAGTTGATAAGAAGAATAATAAATGTAGTTGAAATTTTGAAAGTTTTTGGAAAAAAAAGGAGGAAAAAACATTGTTTGTTTTGGTACACTATTAGTAAAACTTAAAGTTTTTCATTAGTAACATGATCTGAGGATTCAGTTGTTTCAAAAGTTTTTTCTGCCATTTTAAATCAAAAATTTTAACATTAAAAAAAATTGATGTTGATTATTTATTATATATATAATAATTATTAATATCACGTAATATTAAGTTAACAAAAAATGGCAAAAAAATGAGCAGAATTTACTCATTAGTTTCCTGTTACACATGCATGTATATAAGTTAACTCAAACTTAAGTGGAGTTGAGAAGGTCCACTGAAAAAGCAATTCCAATTTTTGAAAACTGCATCCTGATAATATTGGTATATTTGCATTTGATAATGCAATGTAACATCTTATATTGTATATGCAGAAGATGCTTTGATTACATCAAAAATGAATCATAATCTAGGTGATAAAGGAAAATTTAAAAATGGAATAATACCTGATGGATCAATACAGTTGATGCATTATTCAGATGAAAGATCTAAAGGAATCTATTTAATATTGAAAGAATACAGATTATAATCAAAAAGATGTGTAAATCATATTTATTCTAATTGCAAAAATCATTCATGAATTTTAAATGATTGCTATGCAGTTTGAATACTTTCACTTCAATCAGATTAAAGACCATTAATTAGTAAAATTATTAAAGATTGTGAACATAAAGTTTTCTTTTATCCAAATTTCATTGTAAACTTAATTTTATTGAGATGTTTTGGGAAGCTGCTAAATGATATATCTGTAATAATTGTGATTATTCTTTCAATAGATTAGAAAACAGTTTTTGAAGCATTAAATTCAATTTGTTTAGAATAAATAGAATTATACACAAAGGTCTTGGAGATTCATAAATGCATATAGAAAAGGATTAATAAGATATAAAAGCATTATATACTATAAAACAATATAAGTCATATCAAAAAATTTCTGATAATATGATAAATATATAATTATGTTAAATAAAAATTAAAAATAAAAATATAAAGGGTTGTGATAAATAACGTAAATCATGATATTATCTAATAAAATTTATTTTAAGTGACTATATTATAAGCTAAAAAATTTGGTTACAAAATAAAAATTGGTGGTTATAAATCATTCTTTATAGTACAGAGAATGATTATAGGTATCTGAACAATAAGTATTTTTTGTTTATTCATCTTGTTAAATTATTTGTATGCATATTTCTAATTTAAGCATTCATTTAGAGTATAAATACATGTTAATTTCAACAAAAATAATAATTTTCTTTAGACAAAAATTGTTAAAATAAAAGAACTAATAACTGAATAATATAATGCATATGATGTAATTCTTTATGATAATAAACAAAATAATACATATCAAAATTGCTAATAATATTCAATGTGATAAAATAACTATTCATGATACAATAAAATGTTTTAAAGAAATGAAATCTGTAATACTAAATAAAAACATTGTGATCTAAAGCAACTTTTTGATTTAAATGTATAAGTCTTATTCAAAAGATTTATTAAACAAAATTCAAAGTATTGTCATTTTACTACTCAAAAAATTCAAGAATTATAGACAAAAAAAGAAAATTTTAACTGTTACAATTCATTGAAAACTTAAAAAATTGGTTTACATTCATATATTGCTTATTTTAAATCATTAATTTCTGAAAATAATAATAAAAAAGATTGGTTTAGGCTTTAAAATGAAAAGATTGGAAAATTGCAAAGTGAAAAAAAATTATGTGATCTAATAAATCAACATTTAATTAATTTTCATAAGGCCATAGCTTACGTATATGATATATATCAGAAAAAGAATTTGATTCTTTTTGTTTAACTGTTATGGTTAAGGTTGTTAGACAAAATTTAGAGTTTAGACAAATATCTAAATGATAAAAGTAAGACTTGGTTTAATTATATTAAAAATTTTATTTAAAGCCTGTGAAATTCAGAAAAAGATAAAACTATATCAAAGCTTATCAAAATGGTAAAACTATATCAAACACTTAGTGAAAATTTAGTAAAATTAAGATTTAGATATTTAGCCAAATCCAAAATGAGTTTAGATAAGTAACCTTAGTTATAGTAAAACACAATCCCAGTTTAATATTTTGAAGATGTTTTTTATAATATAAGTTAGGTCCTTTTATTTCTCTTTGTGAATCTGTGATAGGATAAATATATATAAAGTGTTACAAAGTATGCAATTTCTTTACTTTACAAATTAGTTCCTTGAAAATAAGGAATTTTTCAAGAAGATAATACCCTACTTCATCAAATAAAAATTGCCACTAATATTTGTAATACCTTATGTTATCCTGACCTGCATAAAGCTCTGATTTAAAATTTTTAAAATAAAGTTAATAAGAAAGTATGTAACTTGTCTAATCAACATAAAAATTTGAAAGATTTAGAGCATAAAGTAAAAAATGCTTGACATTCAATTCCACTTGAATATATTCAAAATTTGGTTAAAAGTATATCCTGTCAAATCCAAACATGTATAGCAATCAAAGGTAGTTTAACAAAATATTAGTTTTATTTTTTTTTAATAAAATATGTTGAAAATATTTAAAACAAATAAATTTTACTTATTTTTAAAAAAGTTAATATAAACAAGTAAAAATAGTAAAAATAAATAATTTTTTTAATCATTTAGATTACCCTCTGTACTTGCAAAAGTTAAACAAAATTTTTATAAATAAAATAGTAAATATATTAAGTAAGATAGATATTGTATATTAATTATATAATTTATAATGTATCAGAAAAAAAAGTAACTTTAAACTGTTTGTAATATATCTAATTTATGTGATTTTTTGGGTAATACAATTTAATTGTAAAATTTAGCTTCTAAGTAACCTTTATATAAAACTAATTTTAATTTATTTATTTCAGATAGTAAGAAATGTCTAAATAACAATCAGAATTATGATCACCAAAAATCTAAATTTCTTTTCCAAATGTTGATAAACAATGACATCAAATAGTAAGAATAGTCGTTTTGTAGTATTTGAAGAGAAAATTAAAGAATTAAAACTTTCTGAAGAAGAGCAAGCGGCATTTCGTAAAGCGAAATCACAACTACAAAACCATAGTGTGTTTATTACGGACATTTTTATTATCATTATTATTATTATTTTCAATTATCCTTGAGACAAATTTATTATTTTTTATTATGTAGCGAGACTTGGTGCACTTGCAGGACTTTTTGTTGGTGGTTATGTTTGTATGTATTAATTGATTGTACTATAGTTTTTCATTTTCAAGTTCTTATCTAATAACATTGTTTAATTTTTAGCTAGAGTAAGAAAGTTTACTATCGGTACAAGTATAGCTATAAGTATAGGATCAATAGCTATCGGAAGTCAGATAGGATTTTTTACTGGAGCTGCTGCTGGAATAAGAACCGTTAAATCTTTACCTAATTCTCAAAGAATTTTTGAAATTATTAGAGAAGTTCAGTAAAGTATCTTTTTATTTTTATTTTTTTTTAAAAAAAAAAATTTCATTTATCCCTATTTTTGAATTGAATTATTCTTTTGATCAAATTTGATATTATGATAGAAATTTCAAAAAATTTCCTTCAAGAAAAGGTCTAGACGTAGAACATGAAGATAATAAAGATAATAATCAATCATCCAATTTCCCTGATGAATTTTCATCAGATGATCAAGGTTTTAATGATGGTGGTGATGACGGTAATCAAGCATGATTTTTTTAATAATTTTTCTTTCAAAATATATATCCATTAACAAATCTTTTTTTTTTTAGGTCAACAATCTTCATGGGATAATTTAAGATCACCATCAACTTCTTCAAAGGATGGTAATAATGGTAGTTCTTGGGATCAAATTAGAACACAAAATTCAGGTTCGAGCACTTGGGATAAAATTCGTCAAAATAACAAAGTGGGACAACAACACAAACCTACATCCGATAAATATAATGATGGTTATTCTAATGAAAATTTACCAAGAACAAAAGAAGACTTTGATGAATTATATAATAAAGGTAAAATTAGAACAAATCAATATGGTGATGCCGAAGTAAGATATGAACAATAAATGGAAATGGATAGCATTTTTTAAATTAATAATAATAATAGTAATAATAATAATAACGATAATTATCAAAAAAAAAAATAATTAAAATAAATATTTATTTATTTATGATATTATCTATAATCATTCATTGATGTCTTGGACAATCTATCTCTTCAACAACATTCCACAATTCTCTAACCAAACTCAATTGACTTTGTTTGGAAGTTTCATCACCCTTACATGGAGAACCAGCTCTTACAGCTAAATATTTTCTTCCTAGTATATCAACAGGTTCTTCATTTGGTCCATTACCACTAACGATAAGACCGCCAGCTTCTCTCAATATAATAATAGCAGCTGTTACATCCCTAAAGAATTATAAATAATATCATATGTTAAATTTTTTTTAAAAAAAAAAATGATTACAATCAATATACATACCATTCCCAACAACCAATTTCCCAAAATATATCGGCTTCACCTTTTACAACTTCCATAATACCCAAAGCTGCACTACCAAGACTTCTTACACCATGAACTGATCCGGCATTTTTATTACTCGAATTAACATTACCAGATTTTGAAACCATATTATGTATTGATTGTACTTTTTTTCCTATAACCATGGGAGATCTATCGCTACCATATTCCGTTACAATTAAACATTGTGATAAATTTGATGGTAAAATGGGTGGCGGATTTGGATGCGATAAAGGAAGTTTTGTATTCAAATTAAGATAAGCTCCATTTCCTTTACGTGCCGTAAATAACTATTGATACAATGCAAAAAAAATTAGTCATATAATTGGTGGAAGAAGGAAAATATGAATTTACTTTACTTGATTGAGAAATGGATTAAAAATTGCTCCAACTACGGGTTCTTTGTTTATTGTTAATCCGATGCATACCGCAACAAATGGGAACCTATTGCAGCAATAAAAAAAGTTTTTATCATAATCTTTGTGGTAAAGGAAAAACATGTACATTCTTTACCCATGGACAAAATTTGTAGTTCCATCTGTAAATAATAAAAAGTATTTTTGAAGTTAAAAAAGAATTTTGAATAGATATAACCATTATAATTAATTTCACCTATTGGATCAACAATCCAAGTTGGGTCATTAGTTAATTCACATTGATGACCAGCTGCAGTCGTTTCTTCACCAATAAACCTATGATTAAATCAATAATTAATCTCTTTTTCGATTTTTATAAGACAAATTCGAAACTATAATCACCTGTGTTCAGGAAATTTTGAAATAATCCTAGATCTAATTAATTCTTCTACCATTTTATCGGTTTCGGTTACTAAGTCAGAAGAATTACCATGTTTTTCATAAACTTTCTTTGTCTTTGAATAACGTGTTATTGACGCTTCTAAAATTATTTGTCCACATTCTTGTGCAAGTGAGGTTGCAAAATCAAGATAAACTTCTAGGCCTTTTTTTATTTTAGAAAGGTATGTTAAAAATCAATTAGATTAACTTAATATCCAAATTTATGAAAATACAATATACTTGTCATTATTTTTATAAACTATTGCGAAATAATAAACTATTTTTTTTTTTTATATATATTTTTTTTTATAAATGTATGTCATGATGTACAGTACAACGATGATTGCAGGTTCTACTAAAATTAAAAGTAAACTTTCGAAATTTTCCGGGATCCGGATTTTCGGGAATCCCTGATAATTATGACGCTAGGATAATTATGATGTAAATATGAGATAAAAATTTTAGTTAATGCAAAAATTTTATATATAATAAATATTTACCTTTTTTCCCGGATTTCATAAAAAATGTCTCGAATGAACTATTATGATCAACCTGGTCACCATGGCCAACAACCATATACATATGGTGAACAACATTATCCACCACCAAAATTTCATCATCATTATGCACCTCCTCCGTCTCCTCCACCTTCATTTCCACAATCTCAATCCATGGGTGGGGGAAATAATGCTAATACTTATAATACTGACAAATTCAATCCAAGACCGAAATATCGCGATTTATGTAATTATTAGTTTTTTTTTATTGTGATCCTTTAACTCTTTAAATAATATATATATATTTTTACGTTAGGGGCTGCTATTCTTTTCTTATTACATTTCGCTGCATTCATCGCTGTGTCTGTAATCGCTTTAAGAAATTACGCAGTAATTCAACGTAGCGGAGCTAACACCGGTCAAGATGCTACATTAAATTGGAGTATACTGTGGCTATTATTAGTTTGTGTCGGAATAGGTTTCGTTCTAAGTATAACCTATTTGGCCTTGGCTCAAATGTATTATAAATTTCTTTTTTTGCTTTTTTGTTGAAAAATGGTTGATCGATCTTAAATAAAAAAAAATCTTACTAATTTATAGGTTTCCAAGACAATTTATTAAAGGAACATTTTTCATCTCAATATTACTCTATTGGGGGATAGCTGCTTATTTCTTTGTCATGTTGTATTTTAGTATGGCAATTTTAACAGCTATTGTAGCCATTTTTTATACATTATTTTGGTTTTGGTATATCTTTCAAGTTAATGTTGTGAACTGAGATCGGAATTGGTAACTCTATACGTGGCGCAGTAAGTAACAATTTTTTATCGTTTTTAGGTGGAGGTCAATGATACCATTCTCGTCTGTTATGCTTAAAACTGTCACAGACATAACAAAGAAATACAAAAGTATGATTCTTGTTGCTTTTGGTGGATTATTTGCGGAGACTTTATTCTCAATATGGTGGATTTTCACTTTTATTGGTAAACTTTTTTTTTAAGATGTTTTGATGTTTATAAACGTAATTTTCTCCAATTCGATTATTTGGCACTTATTTTGCCTTTAAATAATCAATCAATAGCTGCATATCAAATCTGGTATCCAGAAGCTTGCAAAACAAGGCCAGATGAAAATTTGCCCGCAGCAGGAGCAGGATGTGAAAATGGAAAATTAATTGCTATAATTATATTTTTAATATTTTCTTTCTATTGGACTTCACAAGTTATTCAAACTTGGGTACACGTTACAACTTCCGGAGTCTTTGCTACATATTATTTTCTTGAAGGAACACCTGGAGGGGTTCCTTCTTTACCTACGTTAAAAAGTGCAAAACGTGCCTCAACTACAAGTTTTGGAAGCATTTGTTTAGGAAGTTTACTTGTTGCTATTTTACAAGTTATTAGAGCACTTTTGAGAAGCGCGGCGCAGGATACTGATAATCCATTTGGAGCTTTTTGTGCCGCTTGTGCTTCGGTAATTGTCGGTTGTATCGATTCATTATTGGTAAGAAAAGTTTGATGATTTCTAGATATTTTTCATTATCATTTATTCATCTAATTAATTTACCTTGGATTTATTTATTATTTTAAGCAATATTTTAACTTTTATGCTTATACACAAGTTGCTATCTACGGAAAGTCATTCTGGGAATCTGTAAGAATTTCTTTATACTTTTTTAAAAAAAAAATTTTATTACGATGACTTTTCACTAACTTTTTGACATTTGACAAAAATCAAAATGAATATAGGCAAAGGTGAATTGATCTTAATTCATTGAGTTTTTTAATCTCAACCTTTTCTAATTGTCCTTTCCTTTTCAGGATACTTGGAAATTAATCAAAGATCGTGGTGCTGAAGCAATTATAAATGATAATTTAATTGGTAACGTCTTAGTTATGGGTAATTATTTTATTTAAATATTTAAAAGTTTGGAATGTATATATATTATTGTTTTCTTTTGAAAAATTGACATTTAATTCGTCTAGGTTCGCTTCTTGTGGGAATTATCACGGCATTATTAAGTTATTTGTATACAGTTATATTTGATCTTTCATTTAATCGTAATGGAGAATTTACTTCCATGATTGTTTTCCTCGGATTTATGGTTGGGTTTCAAATGTTGAATATTATTGGATCTGTTATTTTGAGTGGAACTGCTACCACTTTTGTATGTTTAGCCGAAGATCCAAATGCTTTAGCTAGAACCAAACCCGAATTATATCATGAGGTATGTTTTATTGGTGTAATTTTATTTTTTCTAGTGAATGAACATTTTTTAATGGAAAATTTTCTTTTTCTTTAGATTCGTATCACATACCCTAGATTCGTTGTCGGAATGTAATTTACCATGATTAAAATTAGATAAATTATATAATCAACTAATGTGAAATTCCAAGTTTATTTTGTAGTCTAACCAAACGAACTATTGTCAACCTTTGAATTTTAGAGAAATGATTTGATTCATTTATATTTTAGAATTTACAATGCATACTACACTGCATATAAGGCCTCCTGCCTAATAAAGTATTTAGATACTTTTTTTCTCAGAGAACAAATCCAGGAAAAGTTTTCTTATCTTCATTCAAAATAAAACTTTTATTTTCCTTTTTTTAATATATACATGATAAATAAAAATCAACCTTATTTATATGGTAAAAAAATTTCACTCATTATGGTAAGCCATTGTATCAAAGCAATTTGGTGTATTTAAAGATTTGCTTATTAGATAAAATTATTAATACAATAAATATCTTGCTTATTTGATTTGCAATGATGTTTTTTACAACGGCTACCATCAATAAAACTTAGTTATATCCTGGTTCGTATGTAATTTTATCTTAAATAATTAATTTATTTTTTTAGAAAATTTAGAATAAATAATATTTGATTACAACAAATCTGAATTATCAACGAAGGAAGTTTTTTTATAATCTGATAGTAAACCGATTAATTATATTAAAAATCTATCACTATACTTCATTTATAATAATAAAAATGCCGGAACGACATTAAAATATGATCAACTTAATTTTGTAGGTCGTCATTTTAAGTAAATTTTCTGACGATCGACCGCTTGTGACTGTTTATTTCTTAGAACGTCGCAAATTTGTAAATTTACTGTATTCTCATCTCTGATTAACAACTTGTATGTTATCTTCCTTAAGTTAACATATTATTCGCCATATTTAGCATTTTCAACAAAGTAGAAAATATTTGAAGGAAGTGGAACGATAAGCGAATTACTGTTCACGTAATTCATGATCGTAGTCGTGATCGTGAGCGTGTTCGCGGGATAAGTAAAATTTTACTAGGATTGGATAAATGATCGGCCTATCGGCCGATCATGTTCCGATTCTAAGTAAAATTTTACTATTCCAATTAGCCAGGATATAATTGATTTATCTCCTGCCATTTACGTAATAGTCTACTAAAGTTTACGTAATTATCTCATAAATTTACGTAATTATACATTATTATAAAGTTTAAGCTTATTTGACGCAAATATATAAGGGCAAATTATAATTACTAAATTAAATTTCTTTTTTTCTCATGGCAGGTTTTATAAAAGCTTCCGAGTTATTAAATTCAAAAAATGATACTGCCATTTTAGATGAACTAAAAGATAAATTTACTCATATGCAAAATGCTCAACTTACCGAAATACACAAAGAAACTTCAAAATCATTCAATTCTAAAGAAATATATGATCGTCTTTGTGTAGAAACTTTACAAAAATATATTACTATATCGAAACCTATAAATACTCAACAAAATACTCGTTTATGGTTTTCCAGATTTGAGGAATTTGTGAAGAGCACTCAACCGGATATTGATTTACTTACATTTTATGATAAAAAAGTTATTGCAGTACTTTTATGTGAATTTATAGTAATTATAAAAACAAGAGAAAAAAAAGAATTTAAAGCAAATTCATTATACAATGGAATATGTGCTATTAATAGGTTTTATCAAGAATTATTTAAAGCTAAAGAATCATTTAATATACATGAAGATTATGAGTTTAAGGCAGTATGCGATACCTTGCATACCAGAATGATTGAGTTAGAAGAAATTAATAATGGTGATTATAATGGAGCTGATCCTCTTACTGATGAAGAAATGATTCAAATCTTTGAGCATCCTAATATGTCAAATAATACACCAGATGGATTATTAAGAAGAGTATTTTTATGGATAGGATGTTGCACAGCACGAAGAGGTGGATCTTACCATAATATTATGGCTAATCATTTTAAAGAACGCGATGATGGTGGATTTAATGTTATAACAATTCATGATAAAACTCATCAAGGGGGTTATTATCATCGAACAAGCTCTAATCAGCATCCAAAACATATTATACCACCAGATGAAAATGGAACACATGAGGCATGCTATGATATTAAAAAATACTTAAACCTGCGACCAAAAAATGCCAAAGAAAATCTTTTTCTTCACATAAATAAAGATCTAAAAGGTATTTAAACATTTCTAAATTTTATTTAATGTATTTAATAAACTTAAAAATATTAAAATTGTTATTTAGATATTGAAAATGGAAATTGGTATTCCACTTCTCATATGGGTCGAGACAAACTGTCTGGAATGCTAAAAGAGATTTGCAATATTACTGGAATTGATTGCACAAATAGAAGAATTGTTAATCATTCATTACGAAAATATACTGCTCAAAAATTAAATGATGAAGGATTAGATTCACAAGCTATTATGAATGTAACATTGCATAGATCTTTAGCAGGATTAAATGTGTAAGTAATTATGATTTTATTTATTCATTAATTATATAATTGATTAT